ATCACTGTAATACTGCAAGACTTGAGATAAAAACGTGAGAGCTGGTAACGGAGGGCTGCAGCGACAAAGTGCCATTTCTGAGCGCTGATAACACAAAAGACACTTCTGCACCCCCAATGCTTGATTATAGAGCCAGGCTGTAAAGGCTGAGCCGCTCGCTCCTTACGCCTGTGCCACGTAACGCGGCTCAATATCCCCATGCCTAAACCGCACCAACAGTTGTTTTCCGACGCGACTACCCGACCGTAAAGGTTTCTGATAACAGAAAGCTCCAAGACCGTCTCGCAGAACGTTACAAAGGTAGAGGTGCGAGCGGCTGCTGCTTTCCGAGAGGCAGCTTCCTCTGGCACGCGCTTCTGCTTAACAGGAGGAAAGCTGGACAGGCTGCAAGCGCTCGGGCCGAGAGCTGCTTCGGGGAAGCTGTAGGATGCTCCACTGCTGTACGATATGTGATTGCGCCAGCCCTAAAGGATGACGGGCGCTGGAGCTCCATTTTACCAAGTCCTCCTTGCTTTGACGTATCAACACGGGGGGAGGAGGACATACAATCCTAAAATCACTCCTGGTGCTCGTTCAGGGGTAGAAGGCGAAGCTTTCTCCTGCAGCAGCTAAGCCTTTTTCTTTTTCCTTCATGTTTTTTCTTTTTAAAGAAAGAAATAACGACGATGGCACTTGTGCATTATAAAACGAAGCCTATACACTTTGCACCGTGAAGGCTGTGCTTAAAGAGAGGACAGTTGGACGTCAGAATACTTGTTTGCCATCTTCTGCCATTCAGAAACAAAAGTACCATGCGCGCGGTGAATTTGAAGCCTGGTCTCCGAGAGACACGATTGCAAGCGGTCTGTATGAACCGAGAAAACACTGACTGGGAAGACACAATAGGATAGATTGTACCTTTATAAAGTGGAGTTGTAATCCAGTTCGTATGGAAAAAGAGAATGGAAGTTGTGGCCTAAACTCTACCGAGTCACAGCGGCTAACACAATACAGCATAAGTGACGTCCTTTTTTCTCCAAGAGGCTCAAGGTTCATTGAGTCTGGCAATTCAATTACCCTCTCAACCCAGAAACCAGCCCTCCTCCCCGTCCCTCTTCTACTCCTGAGCTCCGGTCTAACGGCGGAACAGCCCCAACAGCTACATTGTGCATGGCCTGTAAATATCTAAAAAGCCTCAGGCTTTAGAGAACAAGAATCCCTGACCTTTTATGATTGCTATAGCAGTTTCCCAACAAAACAAACCACATACAATAGAGCTCTTAAATACCTGACAAAGTAATTCATTTCCAGTACGCTGCTGTCTAAATACTCTATATTAATAATGAATCATGTTTAAATAAAAACCTGCGTGCAGTACCGCTTACTGCTTACACAGCGACGAGGGCAAGGAATTTATTGAGCTGAATCTCCCCTAAACAAGTAGAAGGGTGACCTGCTGAAGGGAGTTTCTCAAGTGAGTGATGAAGAAAGATTCAGAAGCAGGAGAGGGACTTCAGTAAGCCGCGAAAGCGTACCCCGATTTCCTGGATTTATTGACCTCAAATACCTGAACGTCCTACGCTTCACCTATTTATTTTGTCTAGAAGCTAGCAGATACATTTCTAAGCTTTTGGAGTAAAAAAGAAAGCTTATTTACAAGGTGAAAACAGCAAAAAAAGTTTTAACGTTTTGAAAAGCATTTTCAACGGCACGTAAAATATCCTTGATCGTGCAAAGTAAATACTTTCATGACCGTAACACAAAAATATTCAGCAGATTACTGAATGATATCCGAATGATTATTCCAATAAAAGTTTAGAAAAATGCGTAACAAAGTGAAAAATGGGCTTCTGTTAAAAACTTTCGAAAGGGTAAGTTGGAAGTTTTAGCGTGGTTTTCAAAAGCACGCCGTTCTCTCGTTTTCTATCCGCTCTAAAAGCGTGCGGTGCGGGTGCCCCAACCACCACAGCAGAAGAATGAGAGGGGAGCGGCCGCCGCAGGAGCAGCCACGGCAGCGGGCTCTCACACGGCTCTGCCAGGGTCACGACTTCAGGTCAATCATTTCAACTTTCGGCTGAAACTCTCAACTTCCACCTTACATCTATTGCTTGCGTGGTAGGAAGCGAGGAGTTCCAAAGTGCAGTAGTGTAAAAACAGTAGGTACCTACCTATACCTAGGAAAAAATCCTATCAATAAAGGAAACCAGAAAAATTTACTGTTACTGTTTCTGAAGAACAGAATTTGTTATAATAGAAATCTTTTCTAGCAAAGGCACCGGAAATTAATTCATCAAAAGGAAAATCCAGCCTAGCAGACTGCAGCCATCGAGCCAAGGTTGGGCTCCCTCTACGCACTGCTTACTTCCCCGAGAAGTTGCTTGGAACGTGAATTACAGGAGGCACCACCATCGACACGGGGGCCGCAAATACGCAGACTTCCCGGCCTTGTTTCTCAGCCCATGACTGCAGCTATTTGCTAAGCGGATCTGGTTGTGTGCTTTTTCCCACTTCTAGTTTTTTGGGGGTTGGGTTTTCTGTTTGTTTTTAAAGTCAGCATTAGAGCCGTTGCAGAGAAATGCTTCCACAACCGTGCTGTATTAGATCTCTTCCAATAGGGCAAGGAGAGAAAGCAAAGGGTAAGACTACGTAAACTCACACTTGGAACTGGATCCCACAGAAGCAGCGCTGATGTCAGGCATGCAGTTTCCCATCCGAACACCTCGGCTAGCAGAAGCGGACTACCTGACTTTTTAAAACCTCCTGCGTGTGAACGTTTCCTGCTGTCTACGGCAATTATCAAGCATCAACATGAGGTAAAAGCAGTTACCAAAACCGTTGTATACCTTTTCTAAAAACTAGTTTCAGAGTGGATACAGAAGCTATTGATAGATAGGGATAGGGTCCAAAAAGAAAGGCTGTAAGTACATTTGAGTAATCTAAGAGAATTAGGTTTTTCCATAAAGAATGTTAAATCTCCTGAGAGAATAGTGCTATACTGCAATTCTTTTCTAAAGCAGGATTTTCTGATAAAACAGCAAGGGATCAGGTCACCTGCTCAGGGCAAAACCAGAGTCTTGCCTAGCATCTGCAGCTTCCAAGATGATTTCAAAGAGTTATCATCAAACAGCCCAAACTCTATAGGGTTGACCCACCTCACTGACCATCTGACAGGTTAAATCTGGCCCTGTTACAACCTGTAAGAGTGTACCCATTGGCTTCAGCAGGCCAAAGACTTCACACCTTTGAGACAGTTTCCTAACATTATTCCAGTATACTTTTGCCAAAATGCAACCCTCAAAGCTCTGCAGTCACCCCGCCCTCGATTTTCTCCGCTCTGTAATGGATTCACAGAATCCAGAATGAATCGGCTGTTAAAATGACTGACCCTTTCTGCCAAGTCACAAAGGGACATCGCATTTCTGAGGCTATCAGAATCTAAAAGACCCACCAAATTTCTCGTTCCAGGATGCTGCTGGTGTTAGTAGTTCTTCCGACATCTTCTGTTGCTGTCTTCAGTCCATCTTCCCCGATTCCTTATTCCCAGCTTTTGCCTTCCTCAACAACACATCACCCTATCCTACCCAAAGCAGTAGCACAACTAATCCTTAATAAGAAAAGACCATCCTGGTAAAATACTTTCATAAAATTTGCTTTAGGTTTCCTACACAAACTACAGCACAAGGATGAGATGGAGACTAGCAGCTTCATTACTGTCTTGTACCTTCTCTGTTCAGTTTGCCTGCTTCACGATGCCTGGAAGAGGTAATAAGCAGCAATATGCCGCGGACTGTACTCCGGTTGCAAACAGATGCCTACGTTCATGAAAATAAATGCTGCACTGACAGGCTACAGGTTATATAGGAAAACTGTCTATATGCAGATGCCGGGCATGATGCCAATTACTGTAAACCACATCAACACATAGTTACGTTATAATTGATATGTGTACCTTAATATCTCCTCTTATCCTAATGCTGCTTGCTAAGGTGCAGAATTTACCGGTGTCTCCTCCGTACAGCACAGAGTGTTGTAAAAGCAACGTGGCTGCTAACTCGCGCACGGCAGTGCTGCTGTCGCCCGCTTCGCTCCCGGCTTTACCTGTGTTGGCCCTTTCAGCTGCATCCAACAGCGAGACGTGTTAGAGCGTAAAACGCAGCCAGAACATTCTTGGTAGCACCCCCAGTAGATTATGAGTGTAGTTGGGCTCATACAGACAAATAAATCACGCGGCAGCTAATGATTCCACAGATGGGAAGCAAATTTTAAAAGGTATGGGGCAATCAATATCCAGTCATCTTTAGGCTCTCCCAGACAGCCTAATTAATCTTGTCATATCAACTCTGCAGTCATCTTTATTTATTTCTATTTCTGACTGTTAAAAGTCATTTGTAAACCACAAATCAGAATAATGTTTTTAAGATTTCATTATGATTATAGCATAATAGCCTATTAAGAAAGGAAAAGGTACAGCACCTCCAAAGAGGGGGTTCAATTTATTCCTGTAGTATTTTATTAATAGTCTAAGTGACTGACTACATTTGCATTAACCAGAGCCTCTTACTATAAATTACAAGAAAACATTCCTTGAGATGACCACCTTCACGTCAAATTTCTTCCCAAAGCAAATTTAAACTATAACCACTTCTTCTTCAAAAAGAAAAATCTTTAATGAAAGAAAAGGTTTGTAACTGTAATATGTCAGGTAGCAGCAAAGTTTGATTATATTGTAATACTCAGTTTTTTTGAATATCATTATATTTGAAAAACCATCAAAACCAAAAACTTCATAGAAAAAGTGACATGACAAAATAGTTTTGCACTATACACTATCTGTATGGGCACAGAACAGCAGCAAAAATAATTAAAAATTGGATGACTGTTGAACTTTAAAGCATCTGTTGCAAACACTTTTTTTTTTTTTAAGACTTTACAGAGATAAAACTTGAAATGCAATCTCACTAACAGAACTGCACGTAACTGCTGTTATCTGCTTCCACGTACTACTGCAAGCCTGATTTTACCTTGTTTGCAATGCTTGTGATGAACGACTTGATGTCCAGATTAGTTGGGCAACTCTTCTGACAGGGGGCATCTGCACACTTTAAGCATCTACAGGAATAAAAGAAAATGCGTCAAGGAGACACGGAATACAACTACTGCCGATAGCATAAGGTTTTCAAGTTAGCATGGTAGAAGATAAGCCACAAAGGAGTAATACAGAGCATTTTGATAAAATTTCTATTTTAAACCTCAAAGCACTACATGATCATTATTGACTTGCATTCAACACTGGTTACGTTCTGTTGAATCCACTTTACAAAGGAAGGCAGGAGGGTACAGTTACAAACATATGGACTACACATGTCTAAGCATTAGGAAACAACGTCTAATTACATAGAAGTAATGTTTTCCCTGGAATCCAAGACTGCTAAACTTCCGACCATTTCATTTTTCTATTTGAAAAACATCTGCGCTGTGAATCTGAATTTATTAACGAAGTTCTGAAAGTGTCACTGCGGATTAAATTCTGGACGTTGGACAATCAGACATACAAAAGCAACAGTATTTCCACAGAGGAAGGAATTACTTTGTGTTGTATGTGCCAAAGAATAAGAACTGCTGATAAATTTTCAAGTCAATTTTCTAGCAGCTTCCTGTGATATGCCCGTGACCTCTGAAAACAATTCAGCAGTCTTACGCATACTCCCACCTGAAATCCCTAAGAAACTCTTCTTGTCATCCCCAATGGCAAAACCTAACCGTATATTACAACATATTAAGGAGCAAAGATTTATTGCCTGCTCCTGCATAGTCATCCATGAGGATGTACCGGTCTGGTTGCTTGCACAAGTCCCACCTAAGGATGAAGCCCTCAGGGTAGTCTATGCAATGTGCAGTAAGCAAACCTAACAAAAAAAGGTAAAAGTCAGCTGAAGAAGTAAAATGGTTCTCTATTAAACACAAAGGTTTTTGTACACACTTTTGGGTTTACGTATCAATGATTATCATAGGTCAAACGCCGCACTGTTAATCACCTCAGAATTCATTAAGTTATTTCAGATGCTCTTTCAATATTGTTTGACTAACATACAGAATGTATGTAAATTGTGCTTTTAACAGCCCATGGAAAATGAAATAAAATTTGTTTTTTTACGTATTATCTGAGCACAACTTCCACAAGTCCACCTTCATTATTGTTACTTCATAATTGATAGTAACACCGTGGAACCGGCCGGGACAGAATAAAAAGCTGCAAGTGGCCTACGGGCTGCATGCACAAAGACATGAATAGCACCTTAAAAGGAATGAAATGCCTGAAATGCCTCCGGTGAAAAAATGGCCTGACTTTGTCAATCACACGCATTGCTTTTGGTTTGGGGGGATTTTGGGGTTTGGGTATTTTCGGGGTTTGGGTTTTTTTTTTTCAATTAAGGGTGGAATAAGAGAGAAGGCAAAGCCAGTTAAGGAAAAGATGAATTATTCTCTCATCTTCCTATTCATTATCATTTAGCTGGGTACTGCAGACACCATGGCACCAGCAAAACGTGAAGGCACATGCAGTAGCCGCTGTTTGGATTTTCCTCACAGAACTAGTCATGGGGAAAGGGTCTCGGCGGAAATATTTAAAGGAAAACAGGTCCCACAGGCTGCAAAAGCTGGGAAATCTCAGAAAGCCAAATCCGGGTTCAACACCGTGGTGGGTTACTCCCTCGACTGGCCGGGATGTCAGAAGAGGACCAGCGGGCTGAGCCGTGGCAGCTGTTCATGCCGCCGGCCAGCGCTGCCCACCGAGCGGCATGCGTTACAAATGCCGTAACAAGCAAGGGCAGGCCAGCGGGGACCCCAGCGGGCTCACGCGGCCGGAGCACCGAGGCAGGAGGATGCTCTTCGCATTCTAAGCAGACTGAAAGACAGAAAACTTTTAGTACTAGAAGCCAGAAAATAAGGAGATACGCTAGACAAAGCGCACCACTATGAGGGCTCGGATGAGCATTTTGCCTGTTGAGGCGGTAAGGAAATAATAGAAGTGGAAAAATCACGCGTTTAAAAAAAGGCAACAATTCCATTATGACTTCTTTTGCTCTTTGCTTTCCTGAATGTGGTCTCCTTTAAAATACAACAGTCCTGCATCCAAGACCAAAAGAATTGCACTCAACATAAAATACATTTCTGTGGATTATATATAGAACACTCCCATGCCCGAACCGCCTAGAATGGCACCTAGCAGGCTAAGCAGCGTACACATTACCCGTTGTGGTTAGCCAGCATCTTTACCAAATTATTTCTCTTTTGATTTTTGAGCTGGCTCACAAATAACAGCTGTTGAAAATGTCAGCTATTTGGGGAGGGGGTGGGTAACGCAAACTTGAATGCGAGCTTTGGGGAGGAGGGGAGGGTGCCATGAATATGCCAGTCCAGACTTTCTCTTATAATAATACCATCTTCCGATTCTCCAAGCACTCTGCAGACTAAAGTGCACCCGGCTGCCATTAATCCCACTTATCACCCTGACAGCTCAGTAATTACACTCCCGCTATAGCTAGGTACTGTAAGGTGCTGTAGTCCTAATAAAACATCAGGCCCCGCGCAGAATGCGTGCTGGTGAGGTGTTTTATTAAACTTGGGGGGGTTGATCATCAAGTGACATTAGCGTTGACCTATTTTTCCTATCTGACAATGAATTATCCTTTGACCATACCATAATAGATAGTACAGAGTGCATTTACTGTACCAAGGAGAAAAGGTATTGCAGTCTGGTGAACCCGGCAAAGAGCATAAATAAAATAGTAGAATTACCCACCAGAAAGTTATCACGTAAATTGCTGCAAGTGATTGATCCTTTCAAAAAATCACAGGCAAAATACCATGCTTAAGGGAATATGCCGACAATTACCATGAGCTTCAATTCCACGTGCCTGTCCTCATACGAAGAAACACTAAGTATTACACTTCTTTCCTTTTTCTGTAACTGTCCTCCCACCCTGTGAAATCCCACCTTTCATTTTACAAGGTTATTCCATTACTATGGTTTTAGTTCAGAGTAGCGTAAACAACATCCTACAAATTTTGATTAAATTTCTCTAATTCACCTGCTAGCTCCTACCAATTTAAATGAAGAGCTACATGCTCACTATTAAAAAAAAAAAAGAAAAAAAGAAAAAAAACATCCATGTTTTTAAGTGGCTATTATGTATTTAAGTGGCATTAGACAAAGCCAGACCTATGCTAACTCAAGAGCATATATCTCAGCTTTTCTTAGTAAAAATAGTTGGAAAAATCCTTCCAACTATTAGAAACCACCCTATTATCAATTTTTCTCCCATTTGTTCATGGAACAGCATCTCCTTTAGAAACATATAGGCTATGTTGAATCTGAAAAGATACCATATTCACTTCGTGTGCATATTGATTTCCATGTAAAAGGCAACACCACAGTCTCTGCACCACTAAACCCCAGCTTGAGAAACTCAAAGAAAAGGAGTATTTTCCATTTCTGAAGCACTTAGCTGTTGGTTCAACTCAGTCTCATTGTGAAATGGTAAATTAAGTTAGATATAAAACCCCTACAAATGCTATGCAAGTATAGCATATTTATATAAATATTTATGCAAATATTATCATTTGGCATGGCTTTATAGACATGCCTGTGACTATATAATGACAGAAATTCACGTTTCCCACACATCTAAGCTCAAAATTTACATCTCTTACTGAATTGTTAAATTATACATATGTATCCCCAGTGAACTTAAAATCTTTAACTTCTTATTTTTAAATGTTGCAACACTAAAGTTATTTATCGTTGAAGGTGAGCATGCTTGTAAATCTCTTTCAGGGACAAAATAACGCATGCAAAGGATTCTTATGCAGAAGCCCAACATCATCAGCTATCCGGTTTGCACCTATCAATTTTGTCAGTGCAAAATAAGCACCTAAAACCTTGCATGTACACACACAAACTCATTCAATCGACCTCTGATAGCGCGGGTACTAATTAAAAAAGAAAAAAAAAAACAATGACAAAAAACCCCAAAACACACAACACAGCGAGCAGTAGATTGCAAACATCTGAAGACAATAAAAGGAAAAGGCACTTCAAAAGTAGTGGATTTTTCTTCAACAGAATAAAAAAAGAAAAATGGAATAGACAAATAAAAGTTGCAAATTTCTGGAACACATACTACCCCTTGGGAAAAAAGATGCAAGAAACCATCAGTACATCTATGCATAAAAAGGAACAGAAAGCAAATGAGGAAAAGAAAGAATAAAAAAGTAACACATTTCTGTACCAAAATCTTTCCCATATGAAAAAAATGCTACCAGAAACCAGTTCTCTACTTTTGTGTACAGAAGAAAAAAAAGGAAGCCATAGCCACGACTAATATTCAATTAATAGTTTCCATTGTTTAACTGTTGAAATATTACCCAGTATTTTATTTTAAAGTTAAAATATCTGACCAACAGAGAGTCTCATTTGTAGGTCTAGCCCAACTCTTAACACATTTTTGCTTCTAAACAAAGAAGGGCAATTTAGTTATACTATTACCTAAAATTGCAGCAAACGACTGTCTATCTAACAGGCAATAACACCAGCTGAAGTGCAATCACATGTATGCTAGAAGGCCAGGGGTGAAACAGATAATCTGGAATAATATTCCACAATGGATCATTGCTGATAATCTACCGACTTTTCATCTATCACAAAACAGGCCAAACAACCTTTATCATGGTTACTGTTGGCAGAGGTTTAGAAGCAGATTAAATCCTAATCCATTTATGCGGGTTTCTGCGGGACTCAAACATTCATCTGGAAAAAAAGGCTTCCAGCTCTGCTGTGGTGGGTTGGCCCCGGCTGGGCGCCAAGTGCCCGCCAAAGCCGCTCTATCACTCCCCTTCTCAGCTGGGCAGGGGAGAGGAAACAACCCTGGACAGGGATTTGGACATATATACGCTCATTTAAAAGAGATGTCAGGATAAAGATCCTCTACTGCAGCGGAAAGCCATTGGTGAGAACCTGCTGCTGGCAGCTGTAAAATAAGACTTGCTACCATCATTTTCTTTATAAAAAAAACCCAAAACACCCAAAACTAACACTCCAACAAAAATCCTACGCCCTTTTGTCTTCCTGTTCATTACATTTCACAATGGACAGACGAGGAGGAAAAGCTTATAAAGCAACGGGGAGATTTGGTTGCCAGGTTTAAATACCAAAACACAGTAACAGTCGATACAAGGGTTTGATGAGTACCAAAGACAAATGATACTTGGAGGAATATTTGTTTTCATTCAAAGTCAAGAAACAGAAAAAAGGACTCTCACACGCAAGGCTGAGAACTCTGTTGTGTATGTGCAATGTGACAATGAAGACAAAATAATCTTAAATTAGAATCGGCTATGAACACATCATTTTGGACTGTAGGAGAGACAGATATCATCCCCAAGAAACGCCTCCAAACACAAAAGGGCATCAGAAACTGCATCCAAGGCAGCGAGCACAGACTATACAAGCGAGCAGGCATCATGGTCCTGGATATGTAAGACTGGGAAGAGAGATGCCCAGCCTGCTAGCAACGCACAGGAATCGTTAGAAAGAAAACGTTCAGCGTCACGTGAATTGGCGATACGAGTTCCCATCTGAAGAAAGAAGGAAAGACTCCCACATCCTCGCTGCTGCCTCTTCAGTCACCTGGGGGTCCCGTGAGCCTTCTGCAGACCCACAGAAAACAGGATGACCTCTCTGTCAGGAAGTGAAGATGGCCAGAGGAAGCAACTCTTAAATAGAGGCACTCTACAGAATGAGACAGGCACACCATTGCTGCTGGCAGCTCCAGGAGGTGTAAGGGAGGTGCTTTTTACTGAAAGGAAGAAACGCTCAGAGTTGAAAGTTAGTCTTCAGACACAAAAACCTCCTACCCTAGTGCAGAATAATGGCACTTACAGACAAGGTTATTTTCGGACACTTAAGAGGTAGTGAATCATATGGACATAGACTCCAAATCGTTCCATTCATCAATGACTCATCTTTCTCTTTTCTTCTTCAGCTCTCTACACGACCATAATTCTTCTTTTCTCATCTACTTCTGAATCCCCCTTGAGTGCAGGAACTCTCCGCTCCCCTTCGCGTCTGCTCGGCTGTCTTCCAGTTTTCTGTAGTCTTTTTTCCCCATTCATTTGAAACTCCTCCACTTCTCTGTCCTGTAACTTCTTACCACTCTTCAGCATACCTCCATTGTAATGGATAATGGTGATAACACAAAAAAAAGCGCGACCCAGCGCCTGCCAGCAGGTATTTAAGACAGTGGTGGAGGAGAGCGTGCACCGGTCACTTTTCAATCCACCTTCTGCGTTTTTGCCATCCACCATCTGGCCCTTCGGAACCTCCACTTCTGGTAGGTTCCTGCACAAAAACTGTCCTTGCCTAGCGACATCTCTTCTGCGTACTCAGGACCGTGCTGTCTCGGCCTGTGATCAGACGTATGCAAACCGTGGCTACCAGAAGAAGAGTAGATTGGTGGGATTTCCTCTTCAACCCCTTGCTGCATGGTGGGAAGGCAGCCAGGCAGAGCTCGGCAGCCAGCTCGAGGCAGTGCTCCGAGCACCCATGGCCAGAAGCCTGCTCCGAGTCAGTTCATGGGAAATCATGTTCTGCCTGCTCTTAAATTCCTCTGGTCGTTTCACCGGGACGCAGAATTTTTCACTTACCACGTTGCAATATAGCCTCAAAGACTACTGCCTTTCAACCACTTCATTTTATATAGCTTGTATA